GTTAATTAAAGAAGTCAAATTGGTATTAATACATAAGAAAATTATTATTAGACCACTGTAGGTTATGCAAAATAAAAATCGTCTCCATCAATTGTACGAAGCAGTAACCAATTAAAAGGTTCTTTCATCCTTTAACAATCTTAATAAGTTGAGAATAATGCTTCGATAATTTTAAATTCCTTTAACCTTCCTCTTGTTCTATATTTTATTCATATTTATCACAACGCATAAAAACCGTAGTTTAGTTGTTATAATTTATTTTTACATATATAATAATATATATATAATAATATATAATAATAATTCTTTCGTATTAAAATGGTACTTTCTTATATTATTCAAATGTTTTTTTCCTGTTCTTTATAGTAACGATTTTTATGTATCTTTATGTATCTTCAACATTGCCAACAAATTCATTACAGCAACAACTTAGACGCCCTTCCAGAATGGACACCGGATTTACCGGTATTGCGTGCCCTTTTCGCCTCTCACAACGCTTTGACAGCCCTACCGGACAGACTGCTAACTCAACCATCCCGACTGGAGGTTCTTCACCTGCCCCACAATAGGTTGCAAGCTCTACCACCACCTAGGAAACCCTTAAACATCGTTCACTTGACTCTGCAAGATAACGCATTGACGGTTCTGCCAACCAGTTTCTTCACCAATACAGAAAAGTATGCAAACGATTGCATTTCTCGGTCGAATCTCTGCTTAAGCGAAGTGATGATATACTTATGATATACCTCTGTTTCAGAATGAAGGTTTTGAATCTCTCCAATAATCGATTATCGGAGCTTCCTTCGATGGGGGATGGAAATAAGAACCGACAGGGCAACCATAGCTTAGAAAAATTATATCTCACCGCGAATTGTTTAACGGACACCGCATTGGACACTCTCGCCAAGCTAACGTCCTTGCGTGCTCTGCATATAGCGTATAACACTTTGGATACGCTCCCTGAAAGGTGCTCAGGAAAAATCTTCAACCCTTTAAGAACGAACGTCGCCGTACTAGTGTCATTAGGCTATTATTCTATGCCAAAGATTATTACCCATTATTGATGATTTTGTTCTCTAAAGAATATAGTTTGAACATTTTAGAAAGCTCAGAACTGGTGATGGTTAATTTTCAGCGGTTAATTTTCAGATGGTTAATTTTCATTGACAGTGAACAATCATGACAAAAATGATATTTTACTATATTATATTTTACTAATTATATGTATAAAGTCTATATATAGAATATATAATTGGTTATAATTACATAGAGGGCAATGTAAAAATAGTACAAGAGAAATATTAGAAAGGAATATTCAAAATTTTCAAAATTATTGTGAATGAATATTATAATTCCATATAAGTAGCATGTCAATAAATTAAGGTACATTTTATCTATTCTCATCTATCAATTTCATACTCGTATAATGCATTTCACGATAATATCCTTATTAATATAATTTTTTGTAATATTTCCTCATCTTTAATAACTATGTACACGTTAAATTACTAACTTCCAGTTGCACAGCTTCGTGGAAGGACTTGGAAGAATTAGTGCTCTCTGGAAACCGACTTCAGTACCTGCCGGACAACGTCGGCAATTTACGCCATTTGCGCGTGTTAAGGGTTCACTCTAATAGGCTTCTAACGTGCCCAACGTTTAATAAAACAACTTCGCTAAAGGTAACGTTATACAAACTATGAAATTGTTATTGTGACAAATGAGAGAAATGTAAGAGTACTAAAGGAACGAACCCTGTATAGGTATTGGATTTAGCCCATAATCAATTGGACAGAGTAAATCTGGCGACTTTAGTTCCTCCCCAACTACAGTTTCTGGATATATCCTGCAATTCGAGGCTCCACGTGGACCCTAGACAATTTCAAGTGTACAGATCCCAGCGACCGATATCGTTAGTCGATGTATCGGGACAGAATAGACCGAGTCTACCTTCTCACCCTCATCAGCAGGAGATTGTATCCTCGGGGAAGAGCGCAGAACAGCCGTGGAGGCTAGGATTTTCGGAAACGGCTGGGTCCAGGGAAAGGTAAAAACCTGTTCATTACTGCTAATCGATATTATGCACTGGTTCCCTTAGGACGGCTTGATTGAGATGTATTTTACTTTAATGTAAATGAATTTTCTTTGTGATAGTATGGAAATACAACTGTAAGTAAATATAAAATTAATGATATAAGATTGATATGAATTAATACAAAATTGTCTGCATTAGTTGCTAAAGACATATTTGATTCTTTGTTTTATAATTCTAAGAAGCTGAAAACAGTATATTGACACATTTTTCAATTATTGTTTCTTATTGTATGTTATCATAAATAGCAAATTGCAAATAATTTTTTCAAAGTCATTAGATAAGACACTATAATGGGATATATCTTATTTATTAAAGATTTTGTGTATCACTAATAGAATAGAAATTCAAAAAAAGAAATTCATATACTCATTTTTATCATAAAACATGTAATCCGTAGTTTAATAATCACTAGATTACAGGTTGCTTTCACTTTTTCTCGAATTGTTATTCCATGAGCGATACACTACATTCTTCAACAACTTAAAGGAAAATAAATTCTATTAACATCGAATAGAGTTTTATTGGATAATTTTCATATGCTCTCGAAAATGACTTACTGTCCAAGCTTTCACGTCTGGCATCATTTTTCTCCTCTTCTGTTTTACACAATTTTCATTTACACAGGATAATTACTAAAGTGCGAATTTTTATGCAGGTTTAAACTTGTGTGTACTAATTATACACGACAACAGGAACTACGTGGATATTAATTTCGTTTTTTAGTAATTTTAATGAGTTGAGAATAATGCAACAGTATTTTTAAATTCTTTAAACGTTTGATCTATTGATTTATTGATTTTGATGATTGATCTATTCATTTTGGTCGCAAATGCATAATATCTGCGATTCAATAATAACACATCTGTATTTTCTGTACACAGATTGTACGTTTCGCAAGTCAGGATGCCTTCGTTCTGCAACGTGGAAGGCCTGTTCGGTATATTCGATGGCGGGTCGAACCAAGAAGCGCCTAGTGCTCTCCAGGAAATGATTCCCCGGCTGTTGTTAGAGGAGAGAACCGTTCGGGAGACGTCGAAGGAATACTTAAAATACACGTTGCTCTCAGCTCACAGGGAGCTGAAGGAGAAGGGCCAGAAATACGGCATCGACGCAACTCTGGTACACATTGTCAGACTCCAACCGCAACAAGGATATCCAAAAGGGGCCACGAAATACTCTTTGAAGGTGTCCTCTTCCGGGGATGCGAAGGCTGTGCTCTGTAGAGCAGCTGGACCATTGAACCTGGCTCCGCCCAGGAAGGTCTCCGTAAAAAATCAGCTGGGAAACGCGGCCATGTTTCCTTTGGTGGTTCCCGACCCTACGTTCGAGGAAGTTGATTTAGAGGATGACGATGAATTTGTGATAATCGCGAACCGAAGATTGTGGGAGGTGTTAAGCATCCAAGAGGCTGTTCGAGAGGCTCGAGCGGAAGCTAGCCCGGTTCTAGCCGCCAAAAGGTTGCAAGACTTGGCGCAGGCTTACGGCGCGGAGGATAATCTAAGTATTATGGTTGTTCGATTAACTGGACCTAATCAGGGCGACTTGGACCAGGTTATGAGGGAGCTAAGGCACGCGGTCGGGAAGAATAGAACGCAGACGGAAGGGGGTTGTCCTTGCCCTTGTTGCGTGCCGCCGGCAGCGCATAAGCCACCGGGACCTTGCTGTTGTCACGCAAATGAGGGATATTACCTGAATGGCGTGTTGAAAAGTATAGTGAATAGGTGAGCAAGACCGTACCATTTTCATTCTGTATGGGGAGAATGCTCAGTCAAATGCTGTAAATTGTTTTACTAGAATACAAGGTGGTATAACCGAAAGATGTCACCTGATTATCTTTTTAGTTTAAAATGTCATGAAAAATATTTGCAGTATTTACACTAAATCCAAAAACCCCATTTTAATCGGTTTCACTGTTTTCATTTTTAAATTCTTGGGTTTATAAAAGTTCTTTCATGGGAATTGATTGAATACATTTCTTAATTCAAGCATACATTGTAATAACTAGACCAGGGGGATCTTTATGCAAAATTAAAATTGTCTGCGTCGCTTGTAAAATACAGAGCTGCACAGAACTTTCCTTCTTTTCTCAATGATTTTAATCATTTGAAAATTACGTACTGGCATTTTTAAATTTTGTTTATCTTCTCCATAATTAAGATTCTACGTGGTCGATTTTATAATAAACACATAAAATCTGCAATCTGGTAACAACAATGCCAAGAAGTGTAAATGAACTTTGTCTCATGATTCTTACAGAGCAGCAAACATCAATCACTATTTGTGATTGGTAGGTTTAGTCTTGATTCTTTATAGTCCACATTTTTTATAGGAGTATAAAAAAGTTTATGTAACTCGAAACCAGAAAATATTAGTCTATGCATATAAATGAACAACGAATTAACAAATTCAAAATGATTAAATTTTCCGTGATGTGCGAAGTAAAAGTTGAAAATCGTGGCTAAAATGAAATTAGGCTAAAAAATATGATAAGTAGGTATGTAACTTCAAAGTTACACCGAGTCACAAAAGGTGTGTCATGGTAAATAAATTCGTTGTGATTTATTTTTTTTTCATTTGTTATGTACGAAACGTGTATCTTGTTTATTGTACGTTGTAGCAGTGTAGAAATAACACATTTTAGCATGATCTCCAGATTATGGACCTTAGACTCTTAATCTTCTGCGGTTCTAAGTCGACTCAAACTATTGCACTAGTAGTTACTCATTTTGATGATTTACATCAGTGAGTAATGCCTCAACTGATATGTAAGAGCAATGGTAGTATTTCTCGACTGAAATAAGAGGCAAGAAACACTTTGAACAGCTAACGATTAAAGAAAGATGGAATTGTAATACGGATATATGAGAAGTTTTATAATTTAGATTATACTCTAACTGCTCTAAGAGTAATTAATGAGTGATGATACTAAAATAATACTAAATCACACCAACTTTGGAATGGTAATATTTTACTACCTACCTTTACGTAAATAACTAGTTTTTGACAATCACGTTTCTGCGATTTTTCATGTTTACTTGCTTTTCTATATTTTCTTAACATGTTTTTTTACATATTTCATCAAAGACAAAAGAAAAACTGACGCATTTAGGAGAAGTATCTCAAAACTTATGCGATCGTAAGCATACTGAGCCGTATTGTTGTTAAAAAGATCTGCTATCTGACCGTTACAAAATTCCTAAAAGTTATCTTATAATGAGAGCCTTAAATTGGACAGACCTTTAAAAGATGCTTAACACGAAAATGCTTAGGTCATCGATAAAATTCTGATGCAGGTCCAACAAAGCTCATAACGGATCCGGCAGGTACTTCAAAAACCGCCGACCTGCACAAGAGAACGAAAGTCCGCCGTACAAGGACGACAGGAGCTCGCCAAGTGGCCAATCCGACCAGGCTAGCGACAGTACTTTTAAATCAAGACATCCTTCCGGTAGGGTCTGGCCAGGAAGTGCGGCATCCAGAGCCACAAATAAGGCCCGGCAAACTGTTTTTGTGCATGAGAATGGGGGACGGAAGGTAACCAAAAATGAGAGTACAGTTGCTGGCGAAAGTATTCGAATTCTCGCCATTAAACTTTAAAAAATAAAATATGTTAATCATATTTATAGGCATGTTAGGCGTAATTTTTATAGCCATGTTAGACGTTAGTCCTGAAGGTAATGTTATAACTACTCTCTGTAAATCTTTATGCATATTCCTATTTCTTAGATTACTTTTGTAAAACCCAGAATAAGGACAAAAATTGTTTCCTTAATTAAATTTATGTTTCTGCTGAAATTGCTTTATTAGAATCTGAATCAAAACACTTGAATTTTTACATCGTTTCACTTAAAAATTAACGATAACTTCGCGATCACATTTCAGCACAAAATTAAAATGAATGTTTAATAACTTCTGCAAATATCATGCAACTCATTTCAAACTTGATATGTAATATAATTTTGATACTTGTACCTTATAATCAGACTGCGGATTTTATACAAAAATCTAATCTAATCTAATCTAAATGTAAAACAGTGAAATCATTTAAAGAATTTTAAGCTACTGTTGTATTGATTTCAACTCACTAAAATTATTAAGGAAATAAATAAATGTGTATGCAACTTTTGCAACTAATGCAGACAATTTTTATATTGCACAAAAATCCGCAGTTTACTTATAATTGTTAGTACCATATACATTATGTGAACTAACAGTTCAGCATTACCTTAAGAACTGAAGTCTAACATGCACACGTTTACTGTTTAAAGTTTCACTCGCTTATTCGAATACTTTTGCGAGCCACGATAAAACTTGCAATTGTAAAAATGAATAACATCGAAAATCGACGAAATTTTGCTAGGTCTCGACTTGCCACGGAACGCAAGAGGACACCGTCTCCGAGAGGTCTGGGGCATTAAGCGAGGAGCAGTTCCGTTGTTGGGAATATATGCTCGAGCAGAATACCCAGCTCTTATTCGACAAGGAATTGGACACTCTATCGAGAACTCCATTGCGACGAGGTCAATCGAGATCCACTCCTCAATTAGGAGGCAATTTGCCTTTTCTATCGAAGAGATTCGGGAGCGCTAGATCCTTTAATCCTTCCCTTCCGCGGCCACCTATCGTACGATTTGGTAGCGGCAGGAGATTACTGAACGGAGGTCCGAATGCGGCTTACTTCGGCAGCCTGCAAAGGCTGATGCCGTATAATCTCGAATACGATTTCGCCGTTATTCAAGAAAGAAACGGATTGGACTCCCTCGAACAGGACACCACGCGGATGCAACAATATTGGGGAGTGGCCACCACTGAGCTGTGATACAGTACGATACGCATTCGCTTTTGAAATTGTGATACTATGTTGAAAAGCGTATTACATGACGCTGATACGACACCAGTATCAAATGGTTGCATCCATTTTGGTGAAAAAAGGTCACTTAGAATGTTAAAAATACGTGAAACTGTTGGGTCCCAAATAAAACCACAGAACCTTGCTGCGCACAAATTATGCAGCTATAGCATTATCAATAGGCTGCGGATCTTTATGCAAAATAGAAATTATCTTTATTAATGTCTAGAACCAGGAGTTGGATAACAATGTATTTTTCCTATCAGGAATTTTAATTGCTTAGAAATAATATGTCTTTGTTCTTATGCATTTATGCGTTTTTATCATGAATGCAAAAGATTCGCAGTGTGATTATCAATTTCTGGAAAATCTTGAAATGAAGTTTTTTGAAATAACCTTTAAAACGGTCATTATTTTGCAGAAACAATAAATTATTGGCATTTACAAGGAAATATGGACAAAAGTATAGGTTATATTTTATTTACAATGAAAATTGTTTTTAAATTCTCGTCACCATCGTTGTTTGAATTATGTTATAGTTCATCCAATGAAAATATACATACGCCACAAAAAATGAATTTAAGACTATTGTCAGCCTAAATCGGCATAGATCCGGAATCATAAATTATTACGTTTATGACGCGTTTCAGTCATTTGCGTCACAGAACATTATTACTTCATCGTAAGTGAACGAGTCATCAATGGTAACAAGCACAATAATTTATATTTTTACGATATAAATAGCACAGCGATTTCTACAGGCGCTTAAGCAGAAAACAGATCTTTTGTACTGACTAAACTGTTGAATACAAACATAGAATGTAAGTGTAAATACAAATAGCTTTAAAAACATAGAAATGCAAAGAAGTATATATAAGAAAATTAAAAAAAAAATATTTAGAAATTATTGCATATGTGAATATAGATACCTTAAATGTAAATATATGTATATTAGATAATTGACGAATATGCATTATCGCATAGCGGTTTTGGCAAAGCCAAACTATGAGCTACACATTTTTATAATGTGTAACATTATTCAAGTGGCAAATGGAACGATCTCACATTATTTTTATGGAAATTGTGATTAGTAATTTCGAAATAGTGATTTAAAATAATTCTAAAATAAATATTTCGACGATTGAAGTTCGTCTATATTAATACGTATTTAACTACATATAAACATTAATGTATATTAAAAAGCAGATGAAAATGCATAATAGGGGTAGGGATTCGATTTATCGCGTAATTAATGTTTAATAATTAATATATATTTTTTTACCGGAACAAACTGGCGACTTTTGTACCTGAAATTACGACATAAGTGATCAACGGGAAGTATTTTAATAATTTGCGATAAAATATAACTGCAGATTTTGAATTCACGTCCTAATTCATTAACCCGGAACAGTACATAGGCTCGTTCGCGTATTTATCGAACTTTGATAATGCAATAAACACGTGTGTTTTCATATACCATTTATTATCTCTGTCTGACCTTGATAAGCATTATCTTATTTGTTGGACACCAGCAAACTATCTATTTCTCTACCGCAATGAGTTCATCTTCCCGGCTTATTCAAATAGATTAAAAGAGATATACATACATACAAGAAAAAGCACTTTCTTTTGATCCGTATTATAAATATTAATCGATTTCCGTACACATCACGGTAATCTTGTTCTTCTTTCAACATACAGACCGGAGCAATGCAATTTTGCTCATTAAGATAACGACTAGACAATCGAGAATGAAGTCCGACACAAAAAGTTCACCGAATCTTTATTTGATAGATTAATTCTTTTTGATGATCTCAATAAACGCGTGACTCTTAATCATGAACTAATACGTTCCAGTCTGCAGATACATACCATTTGTGTATATGTATATTCCAATTTGCTAGACTGTACAATAATTTTTTAAATTAATAAATTTATTTAGACTTATTTGTTTGTAATATGTACCTTTCCTGAAATTGTACGGTGTAACGAGTGTCAATATATTGTAGGTATAACTACGATTTTATTGATATAGATAGTAAACAAAGGAAAAATTATTGAATCAAATATGTTATGCAATGAAGAATTATAGTGACGTTTGCAATGCATACATTCTAATTTTATTATCATTAATCATAAGCAGATGAAAAATTGTTTAATCAAATGTGTTATGCAACGAAAAATTGGAGCTTGCATTACACTTGTTACGTAAAATATGCTTGGAAGATAATTAAATCGATTTAATGATTTTACTATGTCAAGTATTATAATTCATTGTCTATGACACACCCCCAACACACGCTTGTAAATCCTTCTAACAGAATATTTTTAGACTGTTGAATAATTCGTAGACTGTATAATTGCAATCATCTTCTTATCTTGAAAATTGTCCAAATCTTTTCCACGTTTGTAATAACTTTGAAAAGAGATAAACAGTTTGGAAAGATTTATATAGTTTCATTTATGTTTTGATCTTGTATTTAAAATTGTAATTAAAGCAACTAAAAAATTAAAGCGGTGAGATGGTATGAAAGAAGTTTCAATTCTAATAAACTTCAACATAATAGCGCTTTTAAAATAATGAAAACATTTTCAAGTTTTAACGAAAACACTAGAAACAGATTAGTATATCATATTTTATAAGTCTAACCTTCTCTCTCTTTTCTTCTCTTTCTCTTTCTCTTCTCTCTCTTTCCCCCTCTCT